TACCGCTAACTTCATAAGGCGATTCATACCCTACGTTCATGAAGCTCACTTTTACAGGGATATTTTTGTTCCTTTGATATGCCAGTGCAACTATTGTCATCACCTGCTGCAGTTCCTGCCGCAACAATCTAAATAACTATTCTCTTATGCGATATCTCTAACTCTAACGAGGGATCAGATCCGAGAGCCCGTTCCTCAGCTAAGAATTTACTAGGTTTCTGCTGTTGGGCTGTGCATAGATGACTTCTGTGAATCGCATGCTTAAGTTTGGTCAGGTCAGTTAAAGTCGATGTCAAGTTGAATGTATTTAAGGAAGCTCAATCTCAAATTCAAATCGAGGTCAGTCAATCTCAAGCGATGCCAAACCACTAAGCAGAAAATCAACTAATGGGAAAGTTTCAAAATTTTTACTCACAATCAGTGGGCTTCATTAGTTAAGCTAAGCCAAGTTATTTTGTGCCAATTAGGACTGACTTAAGTCAAATTAAGTGAAATCTGCGATAGCTACCCCAATAAATATCAGAAGATATGCTAGACTCGTTAAAGTCCAACACGGGTTCACGCAATAGAGTCCATATTGTGGGAATGGGTGGGGGAGGAATGATTGGGTGCACAAACTGAAAAAAATTTCAATTAGGTGGGATGGGCCATACAATGGGCCAGTCCAAGTCCCTACCTCCGGCTCCGGAGTTAAGCGGGTCATTACGTGCCGCATCCCTCCTTTGCCCTACCAACATCCCTTACAAAAAGATTATTGACAATAGCAATTAATGTACAAGATGAATGAATCAATAAATGAATAAATAAATAAACAATGAAAACATTCACAACAATTGTTGACAATAAACATCATAATAATATGTATAAAAATCAATCAATGTACAATATTAAAAAATAAATAGATGGTAAAATTTAATAGGATTGAAACATTGAGAGAAGACCACTGTCCCGTCCAGACCCCATCCCAAAGGGTACCAGAAATATTTGGATGCCTTCAAGAAATGATTCATATCGATATTTTAATGCCCCTAAACTTCTCATCATGTGACAATACAGTGACCGAAATGCATTACAATGAACACTAATAACAATGATACAACGCAATGATATTAACATCTGAACTGAAAGTCACTAAAAAACCCCCCAGTTGAAAGCCACGAGGCAACATGAATATCTTTAGCATCGCATAACATATTCCGATAAAAAATAATTTTTCACATCAATATGACACTATAAGTCACTGTATTGTTTCCTATCTCAATAGGTCGGATACGAACAAATTATGAATTGCAAGTAATTGATAACATAAACAAGCATATAATTCGCAAACATATAATTTACAATTGAACGAATGAATAAAAGAATTAAGCATTCAAAAAGTGGTCACTGACCACAACTCAATTTTATTTTGTTGTCCCTATGTTCAAAATTGAAACTCCTAACCCTGCGATTTCTCGCGCCTTAGGGTCGTATTGGATCGTTGTATATGTGCTGTTGTCGTATTCGTACTAGAGACTTATATCGTATTGGATATTGATGTCATACATCAGATGTCACGCACCTTGGTTTCATTTTCTTGTGACTGTTGTTGCCAACACCACGACCATCGAACGCCATCTGACCACCAACGTCCATCGATCTTCGTATCCGGATGTCCATGGAAGTCAGCGTCAACACATTCCACATGCATTTCATCTATAATAGAACAACGGTATAATGCTAACAAGATCATGCATCATTTCGACAAACTAGTTGATCATGCATTTAAGATCATGCATCAACACATCTACCACTGAATATTCATGCGATACACCATACTCACTGAATATACGCTAAATTCACGTCAGATCGGGCAACTTAGCAAAATTGCTTGACCATAAAGTCATTTCAAAGCACCAAATAACAAATTAAATCATCACAAAAATGATCCAATTCCCTACCTCATTTTGAAGATACCGTAGTTCGTTGCCAGTAAATACGACCAATCACGATGAAGCTCGCTACCAATGACGCTTACCGTAATCCGTTCGCTCGCTCACTGGCTCACTCAATTCATAAGTGTGCACATCTGAAACGGTATTAAATGATTAACCCGCAGTCTTCATCATATGCAGTTCAGTACGATTCTTATTGATAACACGTTTCTCATTTATAAATTATTCGCACACTTTATCAACGTTCTGAACATATATAGCGATGGTGATGATTTAATGAGATATCATCTAATCTACAAATATTGCCATATTTCAGGATTCAAGCTGAATTCAAAGACTGGACCCGGACGATCTTTCCTACCAATCTCTTTATCGAAACCTGCCCCCATATTATATCTTCCCTTAATCTATACAGTCACCGACCTTTGAAACGCTATGGTACTAATGAAGNAATGATAAATTATGCTAGAAAAAGCATGAACGGAATAAAATCATAAATAACATCCAACACGCCACACCAATTCATCACACTAAACAACACGACAGAAATGAACGATGGCTGAATGAAATTATGAATGTTATGAGCGAAATAGTCACAGTGTTTGATCTATGTTGATCAATTGGTATAGCACCATTGACATATCGATAAAATATCACTGACAGATCATTGAGTGCACATTTATGATCAGATCAACAAAGCGTATACATATCATTATGCCACACTACCAGCGAATGAATTGCAATATCAATGGAGGAAAAAAGGTTGCGTCGAAGAGAGTTCAGGTTAAATTCGGTTCCCTCCGGCTGATGGTCAAGATTGAAAAAAATTGGGTATAGTGACTCTAATGAATACTAAAAAGCAAGCAGTCGTACAGTCATTGTAACTTGATTAAATGCAGTTTAAGCCATCATGGTGGCTGAAAATCGATGGACAGGAGGGGTGTCTGCCTTCGTCATCAAGCCGAAAATTGTCGAAATAGCAGTGCGAAGACTAGTGAGAAGGAAAATAGCATGGGAATATACGAGAAGGTAGAGATGCAGACGGTTCATGAATCTCGAGTGTCATGCTTCGGATGCGAGCGTGCGTAGGTGTACACGTGCGTGTTTAAAGCATTGTAAGTATGGAACGTCGTTTGACGTTTTTTGACAGAGTGCATGCAGAAGCCTATTGCGAAATTCCAATGTACTGACTATGAATAAACAACATCGTAAAAAGTTTTGATCTCTGATCAACTATTTGACATTGTATCACTGAAACTGTTTCATCGAAATAAGTTCGGATTTGGAACTTTTGCTTTTGCTGGAAACTAGAGCATTAGGATTTATCAGGAACGGTACCTGAAGGTTTCTGTAAGGAGCTCTTCATTGATATCATAATCAGCCTGAATCAAGAAGAGATGCACGTAAAAGGCGACTAATGCAATTGAGATGTTCAATATCTTGAATATCTATGCAATCGAATCGCTCTGATGAGCAAATCGCTTTCTANTACTTGAGAACAACTCTAGCAAAACTGCTGAATGAATAACATAAAGTATCCCTGCATGCATGCGTCGAAACGATCGACAAAATCTGAACAGAATACCGCAGCAAATGATTTCTAAGATGTGAATAAAAAGTATGATAACACCATATGGAAGCAAATACATTCCAATGTGCTATTTGGATGCTTGATTAGGGCTGTGTTGAAAATGCTTCAATAATATACAATTCGTCATTATCAATATCTAATTAAAATCTGTATTACAGCACATCAAACAAAACCGACATAGAAATATCAAT